GGGCGGAGGGTCTGCTCCGTCGGTTCTCTGGAAAAATGAGCCTGCTGCTGACGCGCCGTGGCGGGCGGCTTATCCAGGAGGAGAGAGGGGGTCGGCAGACCCGGCACAGGGACCCTGGCGCTGTAGTCACGGGACGGGCGCGTGCCCTGCCTGGGGTGCGGGGGAAATAGGGCGGCGGGAGCGCTGCTGGTTCTAGTCCCGGAGCGGAGTCCGTGTTGCCGCCAGGTGGACGGGGCTCCACAGGCCGGGAGCAGCTGGAGTCAGCGCGGGGTAGGCGCTGCGCCCGGCGAGCCGAGCTGCCCGGATCCCCGCAGTCCCTGGAGTGACATTGGTCTGGCGCTGTTTCCGCTCCCCGGCCGCCTGAGGAGGAAGTGACCAGCTCCGACCTCCCTCTCCCCGCGCTGGGTAATTGAGGCTCAGGGGCTCTGTCCCCTGGCGGGAACCAGCTTTTCTCTCCTACGGTTCTGCCCGCTTTTGTCGTTGGGCTGCATGGAAGTGTTCAGAAAATGAGTCCTAGTGGGTATAGCGGGGGGAAATTACAGCTAACCTCTAGCTGTACAAAGGAAACAAGCTTCTGCTTTCGCTTACTGAACAAGATAGCTGCAGCCGGCCTAGAAATTAGACTTTTACCTACAGTATCTGATTCCCTTAAGACGTTTCTTGAGTTTTTAAGACCTGTTCAGCTAGTCTTCCATATTCAAGAAAATTGCAACAGAAGAGAGTGGATATCCTGAGACCGTAGATAGATGTAACAGCGCAGATGTTTTGAAACAAGATTACTGTGGGTTGGATGGATATGAAGGGAGGACATTGTGGCAACAGGCTATTTTAAAAAGTTTGGTGGGGAAGGTTAGTTGTGTATGTTAGTTAGGTGTGTATATTAGTATCTCTTAATAGGTGACGTGCACTGTATTATAGAGAAACATGTCTGCTTCAGTAGAAAATTTAGTAGTCTACATACTATCTAGATCACACCCCTTGGATTATCTGATTCTAAGAAAGCGGTTTTACAACTGTGTAAACTGTAGATAACTAATCTCAGTACTAAATAATTTTTGTCTAGACATACAAATTCTGTCTCCTTAGAGGCTCAGTGAAAGTTTTACTACTTTGTACATTTCGATATTCCTGGTTTATTAATGAACCTTGTTTTGGGATTCACTTTGTCTTCCATCTGCCTGGTTCTCTTATGAGTTAAATAAAATCTTGAACACATATTCATTTTTATATTTGAATGAGTCATGATTTTACCTTTTTAAAAAACTCTTAACATATTAAATATTATGAGAAAGGACAACCAAAAGTGGGAAAAAAATAATTTAATAAAAGTTGGCAAAAGAGCAGCTGTGATTGAGTGCTAAGTTTATGCATCTTACAAAATTCCCAATACATGCACTATATAAGAATATCACCCTGATTTCTTATTTAAGTGTCAAGTTGCTCGATGTATTAGTAGTTAGAATTGAAAATAGTAGAACTCTTTTCATATGAGCATGGTACTATTAACACCATTTCAGCACGTTTTGGATGTTTTTGAATTACGGTGTTAAATTTGACCTGGCCAATTGACATGGCTTAGAAATACCTTTGTTATATTCTATATTTATTGTGGACATTTTGACCACTCGTTTGTTTTTAAGTAACTTTGAAAAAAAAAAGTCATTCTTTCCATCTGTGTAGAATGACTTAAATATAATAGACTTTATGTTGGGATAGAGGTATCGTGCACAAATGTGTGATGTGCCGTGAAGCCTTAAGTATTGAAATACAAATATGTAAAGAATGGTAAACCTGTAATTTATGCAAAAACAGTGAAATGGAGCTGGTCAGAAAGAGAGGTCAAAGGCCAGGGCCAGCTGTCTCTGTCCCATCAGTAAGTATTTTGAAGAACAAATAAACAGTGGAAAGTGATACTGTGTTCTTTTGATCCAGATAGCAATCAGGTTGATTTGAGACAGTGATANTAATAAACACGTATAAAACACTGTATCAGTTATCTATTGCCCTGTTACAAACCACTCCAAAATTTACTGGCTCAAGGTAATAACAATAATTGTATTATTATTTTTTACCCTTCTGTGGGTTGATGAGGCTCAGTGAGGTGGTTCTTCGTAAGATTGTAGTCAGATGGCAGCTGGGGCTGGAGTCATCTTAAAGACTTCCTCACTCACAGATCTGGTGACTTATGCTGGCTATTGGCTAAGAACTCATCTAGAGCCATCAGCTGGAACACCTACATGTTCTGGGAGAAAATGTTCCAAGAGGACCAGGTAGAAGGTAGAAGTTGTATCACCTTTTATGATCTACCTTCAGAAGTCACATGACATTATTTCTACCACAGTCATAGGCCCACCCACATTAAAGAAGAGGGAACACACACATTTCCTCTAAAAAAAATTTTAATTTATTGATTAATTTGAGAGAGAGAGAGAGGGAGAAGAGAGACATCTGTTGTTCCACTAATTTACGCATTCCTTGGTTGTTTCTTGTATGTGCCCTGACCGGGAATTGAACCTGCAACCTTGGTGTATCAGACAATCCTCTAACTAGCTGAACTACTGGGGCAGAGCCTCTGTTCAATCTTGAAAAAAAAATCTAATCTCTCCAGCCAGTCCAGTTATTTATGTAAGGTACTATTTAGAAGGACTTCTTAAACTAAAAGATGACAAGATGTGTGTGTTTTTTTAAAGCAGTACTTAAAACTAAAAGATGACAAAATTTGAGAAAAAAGACAAGCTACAGTGTAATTAGAACCATTTATACTCATATATTTGAATTATAAAGGCTACATAGTGATTCTCTCTTGTCTTTAGAGAACCCTTGAGATAGTATGGCTAAAAAGACAGATATGATGCATTCTGGAATCTTCTGTTTATTCCATGTAGAGTTTTTGATCCTGGGACAGAAATATCTTGCTTCAGGAGCTTTTTTTTCTTTTTTCTTTTTTTTTAAACTAAGCTTTAGTGTTTGCTTATGAGACTGTTTAAAGTATAGAACTGATCAGTTGATTTTCAGTGGAAAGCCTTGCTCCTTTGTAATGTTACCCAAAATTCTGACTGGAGCTGTAGTTTACTGTAGGCTTCCCCTCTTCCATCCTTCCTCCTCACCTGAGCCCTCTGTTTGCATTCTTTCCATCACTAGGATTCTTAATCCGAGCCTGGGAAACTTGTATGAGCTCATGTCCTCACATTTTGGGTGATGAAAGGGTCTTTATCGCTCATGTGATTTTCAAAGGGGCCTGTGACCCCAAGAATGTTAAAAATCACAGTTCCTTAAGGATCAGGAACCAGATTTTTCCTGCCTAGCTTGGCTTTGGGGCTCCATTTGCTTCATTGCCAAGGTGTGTGTGTTGGGGGCGGGATTTAAATTTCTTTTTGATTAGAAAATAAATTTATGTACAGAGATGGAGAAGAAAAAAAGAATTCAGCCTTTGTTAAGTGCCATGGCACTGCCCATATAATGCCATTCAACTCTGCCCCACAGCACGGCTCTGACCAGTACTTATTGCTTGTTTACATCCAGTATCTTGTGGGTCACAATGACTTTTTAAGATCTGGAAAGAATATCCAACAAATTTGATTGACAAGAGTAGATTGGAGATAAAGGAGAACTCCTAGTGTGTACTGTCAAAGAAGATAATAGAGTTTCAGGGAGAGAGTAGTCAGGAGTAAATGCAGCTAGTAGTTGGCCAGCTCTTGGATTTGACATTTGGGGAGTTATTGTTGACTTTGAAAGGGCAGTTTTAGCCTTGCTATCGAGATGCAAGCAAAACTGCAGTAGGTTGACTAAAGGGAAGAAAAGGAAGTAGCACTGCAAAACATATCACTCTTAAGTGGTTAAAAGAGGAGTTTACATTTCTGAAGAAGAAATGGGGTAGGAAAAGTTTTTTGAGAATAGGCAGGTGAGAAGGAAAGATCAAGATGTGAAGAAGACTTGAGGATACTGCTTTCTCCTAGAGAACTTGTCAAGTGCAAAAGGAGTGTAGTCTCTGCTTGTCCCCTGTTCAACTTGTGAACAGGTCAGCAGAACTTGTGGTTGCTTCCGGTTTCAAAGGCTGACTGAACACCAACTTCTGGATAAAATTAGTTTCTTTATTTCAAAATAATTTCAAAGGAGTACTTAGTATCAAATAAAAATGACATTTTCAAGCAGTTTTATGATGGTATTGATAGAGTAGGCATTTAGACAGGCATGAGCAGAGCAGGAATGATAGGCCAGGTATGAAATGTCACCAGGGAGGAACGTCCCAGGTGCCTAGCAATGGGCAAAACTAGAGAAAACAACTATTATAGGCTAGGACCTCGTCCCCAGGGTGACCTTTTCTCCCTCAGCATGTCGCTAGTCATGTGGCTTAGATTCTCTTAGAGGAGGAACAAGGGGGGGGGGCGGAGAATAGTCGCAGGACTCCCTTAAGCATTAAGCCCTCAGGACAGTGAGGTCCTGATCAGCGTCTAATAATCAGGAACAAAGCCTCTGGTCTGTTGAGCACAGAGACAGAATTTTGGTCAAACTAAGATGACATTTAGGTCATAGTTGTGTTTCAGCCTCCAGGCACAGAAAAGAAGCAAAACCAGACAAAGCGACACCGCGGCTGATAGGATCAGATACAGTCTAATGACCCCTTCCCCTAGCGCTGACCAATCAGTAGAGATCACAACCCTGAAAGGACATTCCTAAAAGGCTGATGAATGTTCTATGGAGATCGGCTCCTGAGACTTCCCCTAAAATTTTCAGCCTTTAAAAAACAGATAAAAACCCTTAAGACAAGGGAACCAGTGTGAGCACTCTCTAGAGCACGCCTTGCCTCCCCCCTTTCTTTCCTTGGGGATATATCTTTTGCTTGCTTTCTCCTCAGCAATTCTTTGTTGTGCATTGATTTTTATGGACTGTTTAAGTAACAATAATAACACAATGTACTGTTAGAGCACTTCGCAGTAGAGTTTTGTTATTTGCTCTAATTGGAGTGAAGTAGTATCTGTGCTTCTCTATTAAAATATTTGTTTCTTTTCTCTTAAGTTGAAGTCTCCAGTGAATATTGAATTGCTGAAGAATTTGGGAAAAGACAAGCTGAAGTTCCCATTCCATGGATCCCTTGGGTGCACCTTCCCAGTTTGTGGATGTGGATACACTACCCAGCTGGGGTGTCTCTTGTGAAGATGAATTAAATGCTTCTGATACTGCAGTGGAAACAGACACCATTAGATCACCTTTTCTTTATAACAAGACTATCAATGGAAAAGTGATTCTTTGGTAATTTTTTTTTTTTAAATATATCTTTATTGATTTCAGAGAGAGGAAGGGAGAGGGAGAGAGACAGAAACATCAATGATGAGAGAGTCATTGATGGCTGCAGCCCGCAACCTGGGCATGTGCTCTGATCGGGAATCGAACCCTGATCTCCTGGATCCTAAGCCGACGCTCACCGCTGAGCCACGCCCGGCTGGGCTCTTTGGTAATTTTTTGATTAAATCATATCATGATATGATGCTTTCTCAGAACTTCTTCCTAATTTCTTTCTTCTCAGAGTTTCTTCTAAACCTTTTTTTGTAAGCCCTAGCATTGTTGAAATGTTGCTTTGCATAGACATGTGCCTTTTTTGAGATATAACTGACATACAATAAACTGCACACATTTAAAGTGTACAATTTGGGCCCGGCCGGGCGTGGCTCAGCGGTTGAGCATTGACCTGGGATCCAGGCGATCAGGGTTTGATTCCCGGTCAGGGCACATGCCGGGGTTGTGGGCTGCAGCCAATCAATGACTCTCTCATCATTGATTGATGTTTCTGTCTCTCTCTCTCACCCTCCTTTCCTCTTTCTGAAATCAATAAAGATATAGTTTAAATAAATAAATAAATACATAAAGTGTACAATTTGGTAAATTTTTACATATGTATATACCCATGAACCCATCATCACAATCAAGATAGTGAATATATTTATCACCCCCAAATATTTTTTTTATGTCCCTTTGTAATCCCTCCCTCCTGTCCTTCCCTGCCTCTACTTCGCCAAGCAACCACTGATCATTCTGTCACTCTACGTTAGTTTGCATTTTCTAGAGTTTTATGTAAATGGAATTATGTACTTTCTTTTAGTCTGGCCTCTTTCATTCAGTACAATTATTTGAAAGTTCATCTATGTTGTTGAATGTATTAGTAGTAATACATTAGTTTTTATAAAAAGCTTTATTGAGATACAATTCACCAATTTAAATTGTATGAGTCAGTGTTTTTTAGTGTATCACAAAGTTGTGTAATCATCACCACTGTCAATTTTAGAACATTTTCATCAACCCAAAGTTCTGTACCCTTCAGCATCACTACCCTCTACCTCCCCACCCCACACACACAATCTCTCAACTCTAGCCAACTACTAACCTACTTTCTCTTTATATAGATTTACCTACTCTGGACATTTTAATATAAATTGAATCAGTTGTGACTTAGTGTAATGTTTTTAAGATTCACCTATGTTGTAGTGTGGACAAATTCCTTCCTTTTTATGGCCAAACAATATTCCGTTGAATGGATATACCACATTTAGTTTATCAGTTCATTAGATGATGGACATTTTAGTTTTCACGTTTTGGATATCATAAATAATACTGCTGTGTCTAAACTCTTTAACCCAACCACTTCTGGCACTGTGAGCATTTTGTTATAGTGAAACAGAAATATGTAGGAAGCATAGGAATAATATGGTTTTGTTAGTCTCAGGGTTGTAGCAATTGCATTAAAAATCTATCTAGGATGCCACATTAGTCATTCTGAGTTAGAACTACTTTTCTGCTATTGCTTAAGCTTGTGAGCTAGCAAAACCAACATTATGAAGGGAGTGAGTAGCACGTTTTGAAAGAATTAGAAACTAGCTTTCTTATCTCCCTCCTCACCCCCACACCTGCTCTTTATCTATTGTTTCCTCAGGAAAGGAGATGTGGCATTGCTGAACTGTACAGCCATTGTGAATACCAGCAATGAAAATCTTACGGATAAGAATCCTGTGTCAGAAAGTATCTTCATGCTTGCAGGGCCTGATTTGAAGGAGGAACTCCAGAAACTTAAAGGTGAGTGAATTTCCTTAGGTATTTATTGCTTAGGAAATATTTGTTTTGATATTTGAAGAAGCATATTTTGCATTTTATGTGAGAAAATTATGTAGATTTAGCTGTTTACCTGTTGTTAGAACTAAATAAAAACAGCTTTTGAAACTCCATAATGTGATAGAAGCTGAACACTGAGACTTTAAAGTTCTCAGTAAAACTCCTCTGTTATGTTCTTAAATTTTGAAATGACAGTCTTTGTAGCCAGTTAGACCTTTGGTAACATTTTCCTGGCTGTATATTTTCTTGCACTGATAATCTTTGTAAAACGACTGTTGAAAAATTTTTTTGTGCGTGATTTCATACTGAGAATTTTTTTTTAAATCCTCACCCAAGGACATGTTTATTGATTTTAAAGAAAGAGAGAGAGAAATAAAAACAGTGATGTGAGAGAGAAACATCGATTGGTTGTCTCTTGTATGTGCCCAACAGGATCAAACCCAAAATGTAGGTATGTGCCCTGACCGGGAATTGAACCCACAACCTTTTGGTGTATGAGACAGCTCTCCAACCAATTGAGCCACCTGGCCAGGCTGATAGAGAATTTTTTATATACCTCCTGGACCTAGAGTATTGCACTTTTGAAATGAAATTAATTTATTGATAAACCTAATGTGTATCGCAAGCACCAACATAGTCTTTATTAATTTTGTTAACTATAACTAAAAACTTCCTCTCAATAAAGCCAAACACTTCTGTATCTTTTGGTTCCAGTTTTTTCTTGATCAGGTCCCTCCTGGACCTCCCCACCCTCTCCTCTCGAGTGCTCTCTGTGCCTGCTACACAGCTGTCATCCCAGGAAACCCATTTTTCTCTTTGATGGATTGGATCCCCCCACAATTTCCTAGGTTTCATGTCTTTCTCTTTTTCGATGCACTCTTTTATTTTTGTGGATAAGTATACAAGAGATTTCTGAGAAGGGAGCAAAAAATTACTAAGCTCTTACTTCTACCTTCACACTTAATTGGCTGTTTGGTTAGAAATAGAATTCTAAGTTAGCAATTATTTTTTCACATTTTTTAAGGTATTGCTTTATTGTTTTCTGTTTTCATTTTTGCTCTTGAAATACCATGTTTTATTCTTGTTCTTGGTCTTTTGTGTGTACTGGTTTCCTCTGGAACCTCTGTGATCTTGTCTTTCTTTGTGATGTTCTCTAATTTATCAGTGACACGCCTTGCCGCTTGGTGCGGAGTGGGAATTCTGTTGCCTCTCTGAGTCTGGAAGTGATATCTTTCAGTTCTGAAAGATTTTTTTGTTTTACTTCTTTAATAATTTTCTTCCCTCTGTGTTCTCTGTTCTTTCTCTGAAGAAATCCTATTGGGTGTTCACCTCCTTGTATAATCCTCCAGTTTTCATACCTGTTATTTCTTATTTTCCATGTCTTTTATTTTCTGGAAGATTTCCTTTAGCTTTTATGTGTCTATTGAACTTTTTATTTCTAGTGTCATATTTTCTACTTGGCTATAACAGTTATTATGTAAGTGCTTTTTCTTGTCTCTAAATATTTCCTTTTATATAACATTCTGGTTTGGTTTCTCTGAGAGAGAGAATTTTTTGGTTTGTTTTAAAGTTTCCTTCTCTGCATTGTCTATTTTTTGAGCATTTGTTTTCCCCCCTTGTTAGAAGCTTCCCTTCCTGGTGACCCTTGAGTGTCAGCTGTGTTTCAGAGGAAGGAACTGAGAATCTGATGGGAAGTTTTGTGTGTATGGGCACAGTTATTGCTTGGTGGCTCTTGAAGTAGATATGAATAGCAGCTTTGTTGTTTTGTTGGGGAACTTCCCTCAGTTCTCAGAATCTGTTGGTCCTTTGGTTTTAGTCTCTTCATTTTCTGGAAAGGACTCTTCCAGCGGTGTAAGTGTGGGTGTCTGCATTTTAGATGCCAATTTGGAGCAAGAGATCTAGAGCTATCTCATTTGAGTATTACACTTTAAGTAAATCACCTCTCTTCATCTGTGTGGGGTTCTGGCTGGAGTCCGGAAACTCTCTAGTTCAGCATCTGCAGAGAGTAAACCTTCCTGCTGCTGTGGTGGGAAAGCATCATCACCTTGCTGTACTGGCTGGGAAAGGTTGTTGCAATTTGACTGTTTACATGCAAACTGTTAACTCAGCCTCCTCTTTTTAGTCCCACTTCACATTATAGCCTTCAGTAATACTTAGAACCTCCAGTTTCTGAGCCTTTTTAGTATTCAACACTAATAACAACAGTAGCTAATGCATGTGTGCACTTTGCACATTAACTCATTTAATATGTGTTACAGCAGGGACATGGTGGGCTCTGGATTTGAACTAAAGCAGTCTGTCCAGAAGAGAGCACTGCCTTTCAGTACAGAACACCTTTCTTCATCTTAGTTCCCTCTTGCTGCAGGCAGTTAGGTTTCTCTGAACTACTAAATCATTTACCTCTAGTTCATTGTCTTTCTACCTTCCAGAACTTTGATGATGCTCATCTGCTTCATGGTCTCGCCCATTCTTTTCTCTCTGTTTTAATACCTATTGTGTTGCTTCACTGTCTTTTTGGGAACAGGTCAGTGTTTGTGTGGAACCCATATTTTTAACTGAAATTTCACAGCATTCTTTCTGCTTTCTGTTTTATGCATTGTTTCATTGATGTTTGTCTACTGCCACCATGACTTATATATGCTCCACTGTGCCCAGGGTGCCGTACAGGTGAAGCTAAACTGACGAAAGGATTTCATCTAGCTGCCCGGTTCATAATTCACACAGTGGGACCTAAGTACAAGAGCCGCTACCGCACAGCAGCTGAGAGTTCCCTGTACAGCTGCTACAGGAACGTCCTTCAGCTGGCAAAGTACGGCTTCCTCACTTCCTGTTCGTGGCATGCCATATACTGTTAAAGGCCCTGGTTTTAAAATGAAACCTAGCTATGGAAGGCAAAATTTGATGGATTTAGACAATTTCAGAGGACCCTGACAATAGAGTTAATTGTCTTCTCAAACTTAGCAGAGTAAAAGGAATGATTTTGGGTAATTTGAGAATTTAACTTGCTCCCATTATACTCAGTCTTTATTTGGAATATAGCTCCGCCAAATGGTGCAATTAAATTATATGTTAATATAATTATTAAATACTGCAATTTGGTTAACTATTACAGTAGATCTGTTGAAGGGACGGAATGAGAAGTTAAGCTGCATTTTTAAATTCGTTATGTATTATAAATGTTTGTAGTATAATTTTTGTGTTTTCTGTTTGATTGCAGAGAGCAATCAATGTCTTCTGTTGGATTCTGTGTCATCAATTCTGCAAAACGAGGTTATCCTTTAGAGGATGCCACACACATAGCGCTTCGTAAGTAACATTGGAGATGCTGTGCAAAAATTGCTTAGCATTCATCATGGGATTGTGGTGCTGTACATAACATGAGTCTTAACAATTTTTTACCACTGATGAAATAGTTACAGTAAAGAAAACTTGTTAACTGATCATGGCACCTGTAGGGAAGCTGGTATTGACAAAGTGCAGAGCTCTTGATTTACTTTCTCGTGTTGGCATTTCTATCCATTTGAACGGAAGATTTGCCTATTAAATTTGAGAATGATACCAAGCTAAGAAGTATGGCCAGTGTATGGGGTATTTGAATCATAATTCAGAATAATCTTAACAGGCGCAGCAGTGAAATCAAAATAGATTTTATAATATCAGAGTCACATAGCACTTTGCAGTTTAAACCACAGCTGCTTTCACATGTGCTATTTGAATATATTAAACCTTGCAGTTAGGTTTAAAAAAAGACTGAGCTCAATCATTATTAGCCAAGTGTCACATATATGATATAAAAATATGCTGTTCAGCTTGAGAGGGTCCGTGATCTCACTGAATTAGATGCAGGAGCAATCTCACTTGGTTAGGGCATGGATTCTATTGGAAACAGCACAGGAGGGACATATATCTACTGTTGAAGACGCTCCACTCTGTGCTAACTCCTCAGTATCCACACCTCTTCTCAGAGTGGGAGCTTAATAAAAAAACGATTATTATTACCAAAGTAATGCATAATCTTTGTGAAAAAATACAAAAGTGTATAGAATAAAAGTTGACTTTGTCTTAATCCTGTACCTGCAACCAACTCCCTGTGTATATACAGACATATGATTTATTAACTAGAGAGTGACATTTCTTATATATTGCCTTGTGATTTTTGGATTTAATAATTATTTCATGCATGTTTTACATGGTTATAAATACATATAATGTGTCATTAACCAAAAAATAAGCATTAGGAGCTAAAAGTCATATCCGCCAAAAAATTGCAAAGATATTTGCATGTATAAAATTCTTATTCTTTAGCCTAAAATTTGGGGCAAGGGCATGGCTTTAGTCTTAAATAGTCTTATTTAATAAGCTATTTTTAAAACTAAGATCTTTACTGCTCAAGGATTTTATAGTAAATTTATATGTTTCGTAGTTAGAGTATGTATTTTCATATATTGTATTAGATCTTTTCATTGAGCAGAGACCTGAAAGAAATGAGGAGTGATCCATTACAAAAATAAAACTTTGAAGAGTTTGGTTTTTCTTCATATGGAAGTAACTTCTATTTATTGAATAATCTTTTTTTTTTTCCCTTAGGCACTGTAAGGAGATTTCTAGAGATTCATGGGGAGACCATTGAAAAAGTAGTATTCGCTGTCTCTGAACTTGAAGAGGTATTTTGCTAATTATGTCGCATTATTTAAATCTTACAGATCAATATCCATTATGAATAGGGATGTAAAAATCTTTTTTTCTTTTTTTCTTTTTTTAATATATCTTTATTGATTTCAGAGAGAGAAGAAAGAAGAGGGAGAGAGAGAGATAGAAACATCAATGATGAGAGAGTCATTGATCAAGCCCACAACCCAGGCATGTGCCCTGACCGGGAATCAAACCCCGATCGCCTCGATCCTAGGTCGATGCTCAACCACTGAGCCACCCCCCGGCTGGGCGAGATGTAAAAATCTTTAACAAAATATTAGCAAAGTGAATCCAGCAACGTATAAAAGGGTTATATACCATTTATCTCAGGAATGTAAGGCTGGTTCAGTGTACAAAAATCAATGTTATGCACCATAGTAATAGAATAATGGATATAATAATAGTAGAATAAAGAATAAAACTGTGTGATCATCTCAGTAGAGGCAGAAAGAACATTGGACAAAGTCTAACACCCTTTCATGATAAAAGCACTCAACAAACTGGAAATAGAAGGGAACTTTCGTAACCTGATAAAGGGCATCAATGAAAGACCCATAGCTAATATTATACTTAATGGTGAAATACTGAAAGCTCTCTACCTAAGACCAAGGAACAAGACAAGGATGTCCACTGTCACCAGTTATGTTCAGCATTGTACTGCTACTAGCCAGGGCATTTAGGCAACGAGAAGAAATGAAAAGCACCCATATTGGAAATAAATAAAACTATATCTATTTGTAGATGACATGATCTTTTATATAAAAGTTCCAATTAAGTCTACAAAAATGCTATTAGAACTGATAGAGTTCAGCAGGATTACAGGACACAAGAGCAACATAAACAATAAATTGTATTTTCTATACTACCAGTGAATAATCTGAAAATGAAATTAAGAGAACAGTTCTGTTTACAATAACATCAAAAAGAATCAAATATTTAAGGCTAACCTTAACAAAACAAAAAAAATTATAAGACATGTACAGTGAAAACTACAAAATACCTTTGAGAAAAAATTTAAAACACCTCAGTAAATAGAAAGATATCCCTGTTCATGAATTGGAAGACTTAATGTTCTTCAGATGGCAGCGTTCCCCAAGTGGTTCTACAGATTCAACAAAATATCAAAATCCCAGTGGACTTTTTTTGTAGAAATTAATAAATTGATCCTAAATTTTACATGGATATGCAAGGGACCCTGAATAGTCAAAAAAAAACTTGGGGGGAAAAAAAACAAAGGTGAAGGATTCGCACTTAATCTGATTTGAACTTAACTCAGAGTCCAGTAATCATGACTGTGTGGCACTGGTGTGAGAATAAACATCGATCCGTGGGACAAATGCTTGACAAGGCTGCAGGACAATTCAGTGCAGAAAGAATAGTCTTATCAACTAATGGTATTGGAGCAATTGGATTTCCACATGCAAAACAAAGAAGTTGGACCACTGCGTTACATTATATACAAAAATTAACTAAAAATAGATATAGGACTTAACGTAAAAGCTAAAGCTATAAAGCTGTTAGAAGAAAACATACGTATAAATCTTCATGATCTTGGATTAGGCAGTAGTTTCTTAGATATGACATAAAAAGTACAAACAGCCAAAATAAATATAGATCAATTGGTCCCTAATAATTCAACAGTAAAAAGATAACTCAATTTAAAAATGGGCAAGAATTGGTATTTACCCAAAGGAGTTGAAAATGTATGTCCTCACAAAAACTTACAAAGGATGTTTATAGCAGCTTTATTCATATTTGCCAAAGCTTGGAAGAAATCAAGATGTCCTTCAGTGGGTGAATAGATAAATAAACTGTGGTACATCCACATGGTGGAATGTAGTTCTGTGCTAAAAACAAATGAGCTATTAAGCCATGAAAAGATAAAGAGGAATCTTAAATGTATATTGCTGAGTGAAAGAAGCCAATCTGAAAAGGTTACACACTATGATTCCAATTATAGGACATTTCTGGAAAAGACTATAAGATGGTGTCTTCAGTCTTACATATCTACTTTATATACTTTATACGTGAAAGATGGTATAGTATTACAGGTGACAGAATAAGAAAACTGACAAATCATGATTTTTTTAATGATTTCTTTGTTTTTCTAAGCAATTCCATCATTCTTTGGTTTCTTATTCTGTTTTAGATTTTTAAAGTATAGCTGGGAATGATTGGTGGCTAATGATAAAATAATTTCTGGGGTGTTGAAAAAGATATAGGAAAAGTAAGAGAACTAAATGCCTATAATGTATCATGGATTCATAAATGAGCCCAGTGAACCAACCCATTTGGAAATTATAAGATAGAATGAGTTTCATTCTAATTTTTTAATAAAAATTTACCTTTGTTGTTTGGGAAACCTCTAAAGGAGAATAAAAGTCTTGAAATAGCATTTCTTCACAAAGAGAAGTATTAAAAAGAAATCTCAGAAACTAAACCAGGTCAGTGGACCTTGATGGCACACTGAGGACTGAGGAGGAGCATCTGAGCTGAACTTTGAAAGACAGATATTGTTAGTAAGGTGAAGTACAAGGAAGGGGACAGGAGTGGCGGGACTCGTGCATTCCAGGTTCAGTCACCTGGAATTGCCAGAACGGGAGTCATGTTTAACTAGCTAATGATGTCCTGATCTTTAACACAGAACTGATGGAGGGTCCCAGGCAGCATCTAGTCTGAGCTTGGAAGAGGTGAGGTCTTTCTGCTTGATGGAGGCTGTCTCCACAGCATTTGAACAGCACCAAGCACTGTGGGTGCTGGCTTCATTACTTCATGATTTGTCACAGAACGTCTTGCTTTTCCAACACAGGCTACTTACCAAAAGCTGCTACCTCTGTACTTCCCAAGGTCATTAAAGGAGGAGAGTCGATCGTTGCCGTACCTACCTGCAGATATTGGAAATGCAGAAGGGGAGCCCGTGGTACCTGAACGGCAGATTCGAATAAGTGAGAAACCTGGCGCCCCGGAAGGTGAGTTCTACCTCTCTCAGTCTCCCTCTTAAGGCAGTGAAGGGACTGATCACCAAAGAACTGGGGCGTATAGCTTGACCTTTGGAAAGCTATTAGCAACACTAAGATCAAGACCAACTTAGAGGTTTTTAGAGTCTTATTCTTGTTAAGATTTACTCTTTAAGTTAAAAAAAAATTACACCCACATGTATAATGTCAAGTCTGTGTTAGGCAATAGAAATTCAGAGGTGAATAGAACGTTCTTACCCTCATGAAGTTTATAGTTTCATTCAGGTCACTGTTGAGACAGTAGTCACGTACATTATCATCTGAAATTTCCAACAGCTTCAACCATTTCCTCTAAAACCACACCAAACATCTTCCTTCCTTTGTTATCTGACCAAAGGAGTTTATGTGCTGACCAATCAAGTGCTTCCTCCTTAAACAGGCTAGATAAATGACCCCAAACATTTGTTGGTTTCCTTCTTTATTTCCGTTCTTCAAATGCCTAAATCTGATTTCACTTTCATTTTCAAAACATAACCTTAACTCCATTTTTTTTTTGAGTTAGCTCACAGCCATCCATCCCTGTTGTGCATTCACAACCTGTTTGTAGCATTTACTGTCAAGTTTTGTCCTAAGCTCCCTATGGATGGTACTTTTGTTACAGATGACCAAGAAGAGGAGGAAGAAGGCTTGGGAGCTGATCTCTCTTTCATCGGCTCTCATGCTTTTGCCAGAATGGAAGGAGATATTGACAAGCAGAGAAGACTGATCCTTCAGGGGCAGTTATCCGAGGCAGCCCTGCAGAAGCAGCATCAGAGAAAGTAAGGCAAACCCCTCCGGCCTGAAAGACACGTAAGGGCCTGAGAAAGAAGAAAGGGCCTTGCCCCTGCTAAATGATCTGTGTATAATATGTTCTAATTTATTCCTCGTGACAGTCCAGTGAGGAGGATATTGTCCCTGTTTTGTGATGCAGAAACTCAAAGTTAACTTGTCAGCGGTCAGAGTGGATGTGTGTTGAAGCCAGTGTTGAGATGCAGACCTGATTTCAGAGCTCCTGCTCTTTCTACTGTAACTGTAGTTAGTGCCTCTGGGTGAGGTTTTGTTGTAAAAGTGGAAACTGGTGAAAGGGAATGGCAGACTTACAAAGTTTTTACCCAACTTTACTGTTTATAATGAAAACAGAATCTACAGTTTTATTAAATTAAAAAGAGTTTTATTTCTCCTCGATTTATCCTAAGGACCTTACAAAGCCATTCCATTTCTTTCAGGTGTTTAAGCAATTCTGAATAAATCCTCTTTGAAACATAATGAAAAGCAGCTTTTGTCCTTCTGGGTAAGCTTTTCCAAGGATTGACAGTTCTTGGAGAGTTAGCTGCTTTTTCAAAAAAAAAAGTAAAGGAAAGAAAAAGAATCATAAGTTATAAATGGTTAATAACATCCATTCCTTACAGGGTTGGTTGAGGGGATGACGTCTCATACGGTTGTGAACATGAAATAAGATAATGTCATGAGCTTAGCACAGCACCTGGTACTTAGCAAGCTCTTAAAATTGGTCACTGCTGTTCTCTTCAGTACTGAGCAAATCATGGTCTCTTTTACCTTTGAGCTTTGCTACTTGCCATCCCTTTGGACTAGAGTACTCTCATCTTTCAGTTCCTGTCATTCTCCAGGTTTCAGCTCAGAAGGGACAGCTTCTGGAACTTACCTCGTTAGAGATAAGTTGGAATAGATGGAATAGAAGTCTGGAGTAGATGTCTCCTCCTATATGCTTTTTAGACTGCACTTTACCAAAGCCTAGCATAGCATTTATCCACTGTATTTAATGATGTGTGGTTGTTGTCAGTACCCTTCTATAAAATGGGAGTTGGACTAGATGATCTCTGGATTCCCTTAGAGTTAAAATTCCTTGTCTCCTGAGTTCCTAGTCTTCACTTTATTCTGATTTCGTTTTTCATAAACAAAAGCAAAGTAGCCACTAGGGGGCACCAATAAACAGCTTTTCCAAAGGCAGTCACATAATCAGATGATAGTTTCAGTGATTTCTAAACTTGGCCATGTGTAAGCATCATTTGGCAAACATTTTTATTTGATAACAGTGACTGAGCTATCCCTCATGTGACTGGCACTGCAACATCTATTTATATTTTAAAGCCTTTTCATATCAGAATTCATGCTCTGCTAGGTTTGGGTACCTCTTTTGGTCTAGGGCAATGGTTCTCAAACTGTTTGGTCTCAGGTCCCCTTTGCACTCTTAAAAAGTGCTGAAGACCCCAGAGAGCTTTTGTTTACCTGGGGTGTACCTGCCAATACTTATCATATGAGAACGTATTGATGAATTCATTGAAAAATAACCTATCATATTTTTAGGCAAAATAACTTCTTTTAAATTAGAATAGAAATGGCACTGTTTTACATTTTTGCAAATCTTGCATTGTTGGGCTTAGTAGAAGACAGCTGGATTCTCGTATCAGGATTCAGTAAGTTGTGCGGGGTGAAGTATATGAAGAAAGCCTTGTCTCAGGTACATAATTGGAGAAGGGAGAGGGATTTCAGTTCCTTTCAAGGAATGGGGAGGTTGTTCTTCGATGTTACACCAGAGCTCGACAGTTACTTCTTAAAGTTTAGTTGTAATGTATAACTGCAAATCATATCCATGAGTTTTTATATTGTTACATTAAAATATATTTGATTCTGCTCTTTGAATGGATTTTATAATAGGAATTTCAAGCATGAATTTATAACATGATGCATTGATCTTTAGAAAAATACTGATTCACTGAATTATTCAGATCTTCCAAATATTGATGCCTTTTACTACACACTCAAAAGGTTGTGTTTGTTAATATCACCACTGGTATCAGAAATGTCTTTAAGTGTTAGGCACTGTAAGCTTCTGGTGATAGATACAAATTTTTCAAAACCATATATATTTTTTAGCTCTCAAGTTTTATCATTGGCAATAAATACTGTTGATTGTTTTTCTTGAAATGTCAGGGTCACTTTATTCATTTTTGACAAAACATCTGCTAACTGTTCATGTAGCATAACCGTACTTTGTCAGTCATTATTTGAAGAAAAGCGATGATCCATGAAAAAAAGCTCGTATTTCAGCTTGCAAGTCCAGCACAGTGCTTTTCTTCAAGACAGCCTTGGATTTTAGTGCATAGAAGTGCCTCCTGTGTTTTCCCATTTTGTGACACATTAATATTAACATTAAACAGATGTGTTCCCAAGGGTTGGTTTAATAAAATTAATAATTCTTACTTCCTCATCAAAGAAGTAAAGTGAAAATGGCTTTTTCCCCCCCTGTGAGGATTTTGGCAATGAGAACACAGTGACTGCTCACACAGTCTGTGCCTCTGCCTTGACTCCTGCGAAGGCACCAGCAGGTTTACCCAGCAGTGGCTTTTGCACCATCAGTGCAAACGTCAACACAGTGGGAAAGGCAAATGCTGTTTCACTATTACTATGAAAATAGTTTTTCACCTTGCAACCCCCCTGAAAAAGCCCCAGGACTGTGGACCCCACTTTGGGAACCACTGGTGTGTGGTCTCTCCACAGTCCTTCAGAGCTGAAAGGGATTTTGGTGACCCTCTGATACACGTGTCCAAAGTGAAGAGCACAGTCTACAAGCATTAGTCATCTGGCGCTTGCTAAAAATTCATAGGCCCCTTACCAAACTTCCTGAATCAAAGCCTCTGTGGAAAGGGCTCAGGAATCTTTCTTCTAAAGTTGCTTAGATGATTCTTCTGTGCCCTAAATCACTGATCTAGTCTGAGCCTTTTACTTTACTAAGGGAAAATTGACCCCCAAGAGTGGGGAATCAGTTGAGGCCCAGAGTTAGAGCTCATTGGGAAGAGCCTTCAAAGAGGCCACTGCAGCGTATCTCACTTCTCCACCACCATCCACATCCCACTGCCATGGAGAAGTTGGGAAGGGACTAGAGATTTTTTTGTGGTCCTCATGATCTGATATAGGAGGTATAAGTACAGCTAGTTTGATTAACTGATCATCAAAGAAGCCTGGACTTCACAGATAAAATTACTTAGTTCCTTTGTGGTCCCACATGGCATGTGCAAGACACGTTTTCCTTCTGAAAAGTAAACTGGAGGGCACTGACCATGTCTTTTCACTACAGTATTCTCAATACCTATCATATAGGAAATAAATCTTTGCGGAATGAGTGAACGTCTGTTTGGTATAGCTGCTATTGCCTTAGGCTTTCTCTTTGCATTTTTTTTTTTGGAAAGGAAAGTAATAGTATTTAAAAACAATGTTAGTTTGAGAACTTGGTATCTGAGCCATTTATATGAGTAGCCTTCATTTGATCATAAAGGATTTCTTAAATATGTCTGAACAATTTTTATCAATAATATGTAGTAGATACTCTGCATAGTATAACGGTCTCTTTAACTCCTTCCTCGTTATAATAAAACATTATTCTTTAGGAACAGGGTAAGATAAAAACAGGCCCCAATTGTTTAATTTGCAAGGGTTTATTATAATAATTATACCTTTTATTTCTCCAGTTATAATCGCTGGTTGTGTCAAGCAAGATCTGAGGACCTATCGGATATTGCTTCTCTAAAAGCCTTATACCAGACAGGTGAGCTTGATGATATGGTAACTTAGGCTTCTACTAATTAAGGACCCTACCTGGCGTGTATTAGGGACTTCATTTTTCTCTGATTTTGTCCATTTTATCTACGAATAAAGTGTTTTTGTACTAATGAAGATAGAACCTATAAAATTTTCAACTGGTAGTTCTACATTGGCCAGTTTCATTTCCTCCTAATGTCCTTTTGCTTATCTTTAAAATTTCCTTTCTGCTTTAAAAAGTACCATATACTTGCTATACAAAATTCAAACCTTACATAAATATATCATAGAGACAGTGAAAGTTCTCAGACTCCCCTTCTCTCTTCATTATATTTTTTTCAGACAATACTTGTTAATTTTCATATTTGAGTTCCATTTTGTTTTCCCAGATCACTAACATTATTAGAAGTTGTAGTAAGTTTAAACAAAAAGCTATATATGAAAAGGTGGTGTCCTGCAATGTTACCTTTGACATCTCTGATTTAAAACCCATAAGAGGCCTTCTCTTAAAAGTAAACCAGTCATCAAAACCTCCTAAGGGTAAACTAAAAGGTGTTGTTTTCTACATAGTAAAAGAAATCTGAAGATGAAATTTGAAAAATTTGTGTCCCTGGTTTTCAGTCTTTTACATATGTGTGGAATGTTTTTATAAGGTTAGTGCCCAGGATGACTGATACTTCTGGAATCAAGTTTCTGGGTACTGATTGCATTTCCTGTTTATAGGTGTTGATAACTGCGGTCGCACAGTGATGGTGGTAGTTGGAAGAAACATTCCTGTGACATTAATAGATATGGACAAGGTAAGCCTTGTCCATGCAAAGTTTTTTGCAAATGATGTTGATTTAAAAATAAGAAGAATTTGAATTTGGAGTCAGGACTTAGAATGTGAGATGATTGTGTGTTTCTGGCAGAGTAGCAGCCCTGGGGTTCTGCACATCTGCACGTATCATTTCAGTGAGTTAGGAGTTTGCTTTTTCAGATAAAACACAATTGTGCAAAAGCAAATAATTGCTTTTGGCTGAGCCTGTAGAATCCTGGTCACTGGTGTTCAGGTAAAAAAAAAAAAATGGTGAGAGAACTGGATCTGGCATGTTAGCTGCAGGCTCATTGGTACCATGAAATTGTAACTTAAATTCCTAACAGGTGATTATGGTTCATCCACACATGGAATGTCCTGTGGCCCTTAAAAAGTACAGTTATAGAGAAATGTTTACAATGTAATATCAGCAGGAAAAAAAGTGACACATTAAATTGTATGTATACCGATTTTTTGAATCCATTAAAGATAAAAACTGGAAGTAAATACCTGAAAGTGGGTTTCATTGTTTAGGGAAGAAGTTGTTTTCTACATTTTTCTGTCATGTGGTCATATTTCTTTATAATGAAAAAAATTTAAGTTAAAAATGGGGAATTCAAAGCTAAAAATAGGTATCTTAATTGTACTGGGAGGGGATGGAGAGTGGATAGAAAGGACCAGAGCAATGTGGTAAAAACAAATAATGAAAGCACACACAGCCCGGCCGGAGTGGCTCAGCTGGTTGAGCGTCGTCCTGTGCACCCAAAGGTTGCTGGTGCGCGTCCTGTTTAGGGCCCATGCCCACAGTGCATGTATGGAAGGCAGCCGATCAGTGTTTCTCACATCGAGGTTTCTCTCTCTCTACTCCTTCCTCTCTCTAAGCATGTCCTTGGGTAAGGATTTAAAAAAAAAAAAGAAAGAAAAACACATACACATAAAGGAAAAACTCACCTGAGTTTTATATATATATAATGCAAATTATATCATTAGTAAGTTTCTGCTTGTAGTTATTTGTTTTGTGTTATTAATAATCAGTATAACATTCATTCTTATCATTAATAGTGTGATTGATACCGATGAAAACATAGATCCTGCATCGATGTCAGTGTGCACTTCCCTGGTGGTCTGGATATTCATGATATATCATTTAATACAAATAATGAGAAGTATTGTGGGGTCAGACCAGGTAACAGCTGGAAAGGTGCTGTTTTCTTAGTGCTCGCCTCTGTTCTGGTAGGAGCTGCACCCTGATCCATATTAATCCGGTCATGTTAATGCCAAGGACCCCTGAGGAGGAATTGGGAAACAGCCTGTTTGATAATCTTTCGGTTGCTACCTCTTAGCTTCCTCCTTGCCACAGTTCATAGCTACACCACTGGGTCCTACTGGCCCTGCCCATATTGTGTGTCTGCTTTGTGTTTGTTTTTCCTAAATTTTATCTTTCTTGTAACGGAACATTTCTCTAAGCGATCTGGGTCACATTAAATTCGAGTCTTTCAGAGCTCTTGAAATGCTGCCCAGCCCTTTGCCATCTACTGGCTAAACCTGTTTTCATTTTCATCCAGATCAACATTGAAGATGCTAAGAAAGTGAGCCCTCAAAGTGAGCCCTGTGAGGTGCCACCTGAAAGTCCTTTTATAGTATATAACTCTTAGTTAGAAGAGAGCCATGAGTCTGGCCCTCAGTAGAGACTGCAAAGACTTTCATTGAATTCAAGCAAAAACTTCATGAATGGTTGAAAGTCTAGGAATCCTGCTAATGATTTTGGTATTGTCCTAGAGAGGAAAAACCTGGTAGTTGACCGAAGAATTTGAGAGGAGACGGAATATCCTCCATCACTTAGGAGAAGACAGAAAGGGATCGCAGTGTAGCATTCATGAGAATTATTAAGCAGTGGCATGATTCACTCCCCAAAGATCTTCCTAAAGAGAACTGATACTCACCAGCGTGAACTGTCCATCAGCAGTGCCTGGGGCACAGATCAGGTTAATCTGGATTTCCCCCCCTTGGCTTCTGTGAAATCGGCTGCTGTGCCAAATGATCCTTACCTTTGCTGTTTTCCTCCTAGGCGCTCTTATATTTTATCCATGTGATGGACCACATTGCTGTGAAGGAATATGTATTAGTATATTTCCACACACTGACCAGCGAGTACAATCACCTGGACTCTGACTTCCTGAAGAAACTCTACGATGTCGTTGACGTCAAGTTAGTTATTTTCACAAATTATGAAGAGGGAAATAGCTTCTGTCTTTCCTAATTGAAGCAGTAGCAGTCATTGCTGTGTATTCTGTGAAAGTGTATTTCATGGAACAAAGTTTATCATCATTCACAGTTTAGCTATTTTAATAATAGTAGGTGCTCCTTAACTTAGACTTAACACATTTAAGTAAATTCATGTGTAAACTTTCATCTGCTTTTAAACATCTTGAAAAAGGGTTGGGGTCATTACTAACCTTTGCATATAAAATAACAAAAATACTACCTTCTATTTATAAGGTGTTACACTTAGGAAAATACATTTATGAACATTATCTTATTTGATCTAGTGACCTGTGAGTTTGTTAATTCATAGTCCAGTCCCAAAGATTCTAGCGTCATTTAAAAAAAAGCACATCATAAATTTATTTGCTAAGTATGAATTTACTTCGTCCTTTGTCTAGCTAGATAAACATAGATAAAATCTACAGTTGACAGATGGGAAACTATGGACATTCTGAACAGTGAAATACATTGCTTACAGTCTCAAAACAGTAAATGCAGAATTTGGACTTGAACCTGGGCTACTTACTTGGAACCAGAAAATTACTTTCATTAAACCATATTTCCCTTGAAGTGATCATGAAAATTTTAACCAGAATATATAGATACCCCACTACAGCAAAGATAAAATGTTCTGCTTTAAACTTTTTCCTCATTAATAGATTTCTTAAATAAAAATAGCTGTCCACCCTCCTGGGAGTTTACCATAAATTTCCAACTATCTCACTTCGTCCCTTAAGTATCATCTTAATTAGCAATATTAAGTTTCCATTACCTACCAGACTCCTCTTTAGCATGCTTCGAATGTGGGTTTTATAAGGAAACTTCACTCCACTATAATTCTGCCTCTACCTCTAACCAACTCGCTAACTTTAAACAGGCCTCAACTGTGAAATGAAGAGTTTGTACTCTTTCTCTGAAGTCCTCTCCAATTCACCTTACGTGACCCAATGGTGATTAATAAGCTGTTGAAATAATTCCAGGCACGCCTGGGGAGGCTAGATAGAGTAGTGGATAAGAGCATGATTCTGGAGCCATGCCCCTGTGTTCAGTTTCTGGCTCTACCAGCTGATGGCTGGGTAACTTTTGGAAGGTTAAAATAGAGACAATATTAGTTCACAGAATTGTTATGAGAATTAAGTATAAAGCCTTTGTACAATTTCTGGGACACAGTAAACGTCCTATATTTGTTGTAGTAATGTGATCATTGAAACCTTTAGTTTCCAGTTTTTGCTATAATTTTAAGTGGTTTTACTGTTGTTTAATTTATAACCTGATCCCTGAGATTTTAGGTTCATAAAAAATGGTATTCAATAAATGTTTGTTAAGGACAAATTTCCTTTGTCCTACCTGTAGGTGGCTCTTTTACAGCCTAGAGAAACACAGCATCTCCTATAAAACAGACACTTTACATAATGCAATGTTCTCTGAATTTTTTTTCACATTTCACCTAAAATTTAGTATGTAAACTAGAGCTGTTTAAAAACTCTATTTCCCTCTGTGAATGAATATATATACTCAGGTAAAGAGTTAATTGTCCGTAATGGTGACTGGTTTTAGGTGTGACTTACACTGACCTTTTTTTTAATTTTAAATCAGGTATAAGAGGAACTTGAAGGCTGTTTATTTTGTTCATCCAACATTTCGTTCAAAGGTACAGTATTTCTCTTTTTAGCTAAATCATGAATTTAAGTGCACTGCATGCCAGATTAAGATATATTTCAGCATCTTAATTCTTGCTGTTGCCATTGTGATGCTAATTTCTTTGTTTACCCTGTAACTGTGGTCCTGATATTGGTCTCATGTAATTCTGGTATCTTTGTAGACAACCCTCACAAGCTGTTGGCCTCTCAGTCTTTGCCTCTTCTTGTCTTTGTCCATCCGGGCTTTGCTTATGTCGTAGGTACAGAATTCACTTTCCTTCCTCTGCTCACAGCTCTTATTTGTCCTCCAGGTCTCAGCTCAACAGTTGCTTTCCACAGAAACCTTCCCTGACCGTCCTGTTCCTAGTAGGCACTCCTGCATTGTACCCCCTTAAGATTTTATAGTCATCTATCATCGTTATGTTTTTAATTCAGTTTGTTTAATTTTCTGCCTTAGTTGTTAGCCTGCAGGATCCCTGAGAGCTAGAAGATGGCCCTCTGGCTCACAGCTATATCCCTAATATCTAATCCTACATCTTGACTTCACCAGGTCATCTAGTCCTTTGGTCCTTTTACTGAAAATCTTATCTCTTTTTTGTCCTGATTTTTTGCCCCTATTCAGCCTAAAACCCATGTTCCATCACTTCAGCCACTCTTGTCAATGCCTAAATGCCCTATATATAAGCTCTCACCTTTTCATCACACTTGCCCAGTAGAAGGTTTTAATCCTGAAATAGTCCATCATTCTGCTTTTGTCACTCCCGTGTCTGGGTTGCTGAGCACCAATGGAGAGTCCTAGAGCCATGGGATTTTGTAAGCCTTATAATGTACCAGTGAGGTAGATCGTAGTCATATTCCCACTTTACAGACAAGGAAACTAATGCTTAGAGAGACAAAATCACTTGTCCAAGGTAAGCAGCTAATAAGTAGCAAAGGCAGGATTTGAATCGAGGCATTTTAATTCCAGAGCCTACGCTTGTAACCACACAGCATACTTCCATTACCTCGGGAAGCTCTCTTCAGTAATTATCCTCTCCCCTCTCCCTTTCTTCTGGATCTAACTCATCAATTTTTAAACATGCTAAAGTCTCCACTTTTCTTCTTTACAACCAAAATTTTGTAGTGTAATCTCTTCTATGTTCACCATTTCCATATTTCATACACCTTAAATTACTCCAGTCTCGTTCGAATCCCACTATGGCCACTAAAGCTGCTCACACCAAAATCACTGGTAATTTCTGTTACTAAACCAGTAGACACTCTTCTGTCTTTGTGTAACCTGTTTCCCGGTTGCCTTAAACATTGTTGACCACTTCTTTCCCGAAGCACTTTGTCTTGGCTTCTTCCACACCTCCTTAGCCTACCTATTCTCTTGTTTCTAGCTGCTCCTTCTCGGTCTCCTTTGCTGTCCCCTTTCTCTTTTTATCCTTTGAGTGTTAGTGTCCCCAAATCTTCTGCCCTCTTCTTTCATTCTGTACCTTTTTTTTTTTTATTTCTGTGTCTTCAGCAACCCTCTAGAATATATGCAATTCCCAAGTCTACATCTGAGAGGCAGTAAAGCCTAATGTTTAAAAGCATGGGTTTGAGATTGAGATAATGTAGGTTCTAATCCCAGCTCTACTGATTGCTAGCTTCTTATCTAAGGCAACTTATGTAACCTCTCTATGCTTTAATTTCATCTTCTATAAAATGGGAGTGATAATAGTACTTACCTTGTTAGGGTTGCTAGAAGGATGAAATTAATACATGTAAAATGTTTAAAACATTAGCAGACACAGATTGAACACTCGGCAAATATTAGCAATTATCATCATTCCTGTACTGATAACTGCGTGTTGACGTACTGATTAGATATCTTCACTTAGATGTCCTACTGGCCTCTGAAGTTCAGCATTTCCTCCTTCCTCCCTCCCTCACTCCCAGGCTGCTTTCTGTATTCCCCATCGTAGCGAATGGGACCACTGCCCACCCAGGTGCCTGAGCTAGAAACCAGGGAGGCATCCTTGAGTACTTTCCCTACCTCACCTCTCACCAGATTACATCAATTTTGTGTGCCTGCTCTTGTCCAAATCCATGACTGTCATCAGGCCTGACTAGTGAAGTTTTCTTATAAAGTTAATATAAGAAGCCTAGAGTATTTACTACAGAATTCTTTGCAAAAGTTTGCCAAGACCTGTTCTTAGGCAAAAAGAAAGAATAAAGAGTCTATCAGAGGGGTTTAGAGAAAAAAAACTTATTTGGGCATTAAAACCCCGGCTTTAGTGACTTATTGGATGAGTAGGAGTGAGAGCAAGAACTGAGTCATCCATGACTCCCAGGTAGCATCAGATAGGATCGTGGATTGGGAAATACATTTAAGTCAATATCAAGTAAACTGAGCTTTAGCTCTCTAAAGGTGTTAATGAATAAAACCACAGAGACTTAGGGCCAAGAGAACAACTGAAGACAGAGCCCTGGCGTCAAGGAAGGAGATTGGGAAGTAAGTAATCTAAAAATCAACAGGAAAACCAAGACTTGACTAATGCCGTGGGAGCCAGTGGATGGGAAAAGCATCAAAGATGGTAGAAAGTCATTATTTTAGAACATTGTGGAGAAATTAAGATAAGTAGTGAAAAGTCCTCATAATTCATCATTAAGAGATGAGTGAAGACTTCAGTGAGAGAATGTTTTCAACTCTGGGATTTCTCATTACTTACAGGATTATTGTTGAGTTTCTCATCCAATATCATTAAAATTTGCATGAAGTATTTTAAGTAATTATTTCAAAACTGCACATTTCCTTTTGGTCCCTCAGTGTTCGAACAGCACAGAAAGTTCTAATTAAATGCTCATGGGAGCACTGCCTGCCAGACTAAAAAAAGGAAGAGTATAGTTTGTGAAGTCAGTCATATGAAGTGCTCTCTTCATGCAGTTGAGTTTTGATTACATGCTTGACTGTTTTCCCCAATCTCATCATCCATTTATTTTTTTGTTCATCTAGTAACTACTGAAACTTATTCTTTAATATGGACAAACAGAAGGATTAGCTTGATTTTCAGTATGCTTTTGCAATAATGTCTGATCTCCCCACTTCCATTCAGTATGGTACTGGACTTTTCTAGACAGTGTTATATGTCAAGAAAAACAAAATGCATCTAGGTTTAGTAAGGAATAAATAAAACTGTCTTTATTCACAGATGCCATGATCCTCAGAAAAGCTACTAGAACTAATGAGAAAGTTTTATCAAGGTTTCAGATTTTAATATCACTGTTCAAAAATTAATTATGTATATTAGCAATGAGAAATCAAATTGAAATTTAAAAGGGAGTATCATTCACACCAGCATCAAAAAATACTGAGTACTTAGGGATAAATATGACAGAAGATGTGAAAAACTTACACACTTTACAAGCCATGCATACTGAAAGCATTGATGAGAGATGCAAAGGAGACCTAAGTGAATGAAGGCATATACTGTGGATTAGAAGGTTTAATATTGTTAAATTGTCAACTCTTGCTAAATCTGTAGATTAAATTCAATCTCAACCAAAATTTTAGCAGGCTCTTTTGTGGAAATTGACCAATCAAAATGCAAAGCATCTAAAATAGCCAAACCAACTTTGGAAAAGAGGAATAGAGCTAGAGAACCAACATGACCTGCTTTCAAAGCTTATTCTAAAGCTACAGTACTCAAGACATTGAGGTATTGGCATCCAGAGAGACAAATAGATCAGTGGAGCAGAATAGAGAATCCAGAAATAGACTCATGTATATATGGATGATTGATTTTTGACAAAAGTTCAAAGTTGGATCAGTGGAAAAAGGATAGTCTGTTCAGCAAATGTTAGTGGAACAACTGGATATCAATATGCAAAAAAATGAACTTTGTTTCATATCTTGCATCATATACAATAGTTAAGTGAAAATGAATTAAAGTTCGAAATGTAAAACTTAAAACTGTTAAACTTATAGAAAAAAATTTAAGAAAGCTTTGTGACCTTAAGCACAGCAAAGATTTCTTAGATATAGTACCAAAAGCATAACCCATAAGATAAACTGGACTTCATCAAAATTAAAAACTTGGCTTTTTTAAAGATATGAGAATGAAAAGATAATCTACAGCCTGAGAGAGAAATCTTAATAAAACATTTATCTGATAAAGAACTTGTCTTTAGAAAGTGTTAGAGCCACTATCCTTGATGGTCTCGTCGTTGGACTTGCTTTATATGGGAGTTGGGGTGAACGCCAGGTTGGGCAGAGCCAAAGGCCCGACCAGTAAAGTGACGGCCATCGCTTGCCCATCTGATCTTCTGGGGTGGGGAGGACGAGGGAGGGCTGAGAATGAAACCCATGTGTAGTGAAATCCGCTGTCTTAGGCTAAGTCAGAAACCGTAAGGGAGTGTTTCTCATTATAATGAGATGAAATCAAGGGGTAATAAAACAGTGGAATCCCGCCGTCCTGATTTCCCTACTCCTCAGATTTTTTTCCAAGCCACTCCACCCAAAGTACTAATTGGCTCGCACATAAATCACTGCTCTTTTTCTCCTTTGCAACTTGCTAGTAGAACGCCAGCTAACAGAAGCCAAGCCCATCGTTGATCCTGGCTCTCATGGGTCGCTGTGCACACACACCATTGCTCCTGTGAGCTCTTTTCGTAGTTTATGTTGTTTGTGATCCTGTGTTCTTGGCTTCAGGTCTGTAAATAATGGGATGACATAATCCCCAGCATTCACAAACTATCCCAGCAGTCCTTTTCAGATTCTTTGTTTTCTTCAGTTTCTTAAAATAGTAGATACTAAGGAATGCAACTTACCTAACTAAATGTATATTTGTAACTTATAAATAACAGAAAATTAAAAGCCAAGTTATATACAGTAAAACTAAAATGGAAAAAGCCAAGACAGTGTTCTTGAGTCTCCCTGAACAGAAAACTTTTAACTGGGTTCCGCTTCTGTCTACTTAGAGTAATCTTCTCTTGCTGATGCTGGAAGGGTGTGAAGGGGGTAATGAGGGAAAACCTTCTCTTTTAAAGATTGTATGATTCTTCCCCAACCCAGTCTTCTCTTTGAACTCTCCACCCACCCCCGTGTCTTGTGGTATAGCACATTCAGGAGTCCTTAGTAGACTTGGTTACTTAAGAATCACTTAAAATTACTGAGAGCTAACTTGATCAATTTTATGGATAGAGAAACTGAGTCTCAGATTGCAGAACAATTTATTTTTATTGTAGAATGAGGGCATATTGGACCATTTCTGAACAGTGAGTTCAGAAGCTCTTATACCTCCATTTGTTAACTCTTTGAACACATACGGAATTCCTTTTTATTACACCCTATGAATATGTTACTTAGAGAATCAGGTAATACAATACAGATTGTTAATTATGGGATAATCTGAGTAAACACAGTGTTGGGACACCTCAAGGAAGCTCCTTTCCTAGCTTTGGGTGTAGGACAGTCAAGAGAGTTTCCTCACTGAGGTGAGTTCTTATCTGAGCTCTGAAGGACAGTTACCCAGGCAGAGAACTGAAGGAAAGAGCTAAGAGAACTAAGAGAGCAGTATATACAAAGGCCCTGAGGTAAGAGACAGTGGCACGGAGATTCCCCGCAGTCTCTTCTAGCTGTAATCTCATTCCTTTTTCCAAGTAGCACAGTTCCTTGTGCGTGACAGGTATCCGTGCCTGCTCTTTGGGCTGGTCACTGCGTTTGGTACATTTGCCTTAGGTGGTTATTATTCTGCTGAATCTCACTCCTCTGCCAGAAGCGAGGCCCCTTTCAGAGGAATGGCCATATTGCTACTCCCCTGAGCCACCTATAGCCATTCACAGTGCTCAGCACACAGAGGTAACCAGGAGATGTTAACTCCCTGCACAGATGTATCTCCTAACACATCCTGGAGGCTCTTTATTCTCTCTATGGTCTTATTTTTTAAGCTCTTTCTAGAATCTCTAAAATCTCCATGGTCTCTCTGTAGCTCTTACTGGTTTATCAGCTATCTTTGTGGCTGGTTGGAGACTTCTTAATCTGAAATTTTTGCTAATCTGATTTGCAAAAATTTGTGTCATTTGACTTTATAACTACATGTGTTTAAAAAAAACCCCTGATTTTAGTTATGTAATTAAATGACTTTAATTGATTTGAATTAACTCACATGGTTCTAGCAAGGCCAAGTGCTTTCCCTCCCCTCCCCCCACCTTCTTCCAAATGAACTTGGTAAGATGGGAAGGGAGAGGATAATGTTAATATTTGAGGCCTTCTGCCAGCCATTGTAGTGTGGCCAAAATAGGATAGCGATCCAGGCTGTAAAATCATTATACAATAGGCCTTATCTTCATTCTTTCTTTATCATATACTTGAGAATACGTGGTTCTGTGTGTACCTTATAAAACTTTATTGTTTTATGATTACTAGGCAAATTATAGAAATGAATGTAACTGAAATACTAGGAAGTGTATGTTATAAAACTTTATTGTTTTAGGATTATCTACTAGGGAAATTATAGAAGTGAATGTAAGTAACTGAAATGCCAGGAAGTAGGAATAAGTTTCGTAAATAAAATGTAAACATAAGGTTATATGAACTCGGAGGGATAATGTGTTCGGAGCTAGAAGGGAAGGATGTTGAGCCTGGAAGTTTGGATAGGAGTCTGGCAGAGATGAGCTCTTTCCGGTTCTGTTATTTGTGCTGTTTCTCCTAAGTAGGTAGGAAAAAGTAGGTCGTATTAGGGGCTTGGAATGTGTGAGAGGCTTGGAACAACCACTGAGGAACATGATAAGGTGTCAAAGAGGAATTGACAGCGATGGGCATCAGTGGCAAGTGCCCACAGTGGCGTGGACTCTTCGTGGGCCACTTATTCATTTGGAGTGTACTCTGCCAGTGCACCGAGAAACCATATGCATGGTACTTTCTTTATGTAAATATAAGTTACGTATTTACGTAGAACGTATTCACGTTACCATGCATCTGACTCGTCTGTGAAGGTTGCCTTCTCCTATGCTCTACCTTCTGTATTGGACATGTATAAGTACAAATTTCTATTTATAAAGATAAAATGCAGATAACAGTATCGTGTCCACCTCATAGGACTGTTGTGTAAGCTGTTGGTAAACATGTCCAATTATCTGTTTAGGGAGACTGATAATAATTTGTAAGTTCTAGCTGTTACCTAGTCTTTGTCAGTACTATTTGCTATAGAAAATTCTTCCTTATTTGGGAACCAACAAGTGCTGCAGAGTAGCTTTTCCAGAGGGATTGCATGTTGTAAAGTAAAATGAACCAAGGTGGTGCTCCATCACAGAAGATTCACTTTGAGAAAGAGACTGTATGCTAAGTGTCAGCTGAAAAATAAATGTCTTAAATATTGGCAGACATTTCCTTTTCAGTCTCATTTGAAAAGAAAAGTTTGTGAGATTTGGGGATGTGACCATTTTCGGGGTAGCTGTGAATCAGTTATTCTACCAAACGTCCCATGGTTCGACCATACCCGCCGTGTGCTGTGTCCCAGTACACTACTCGCATAGGAGCCTAGGGACACATGGAAACCAAGCTTCATGGAGCACAGGTCCTTCCTGCAGTTCCTAGTAATCGGTACTCCAGTGTGTACCAATTTCTTTCTTTACCGGTCATAATCAGCTAAACGAATTGCACAGTTCACTGGTGCGCAGCAGCCTGCACTTTGGGAAACCCTGCTTATTGCAAGATGTTTCTGACATCAGTTTCCGTTTTGAAGTAGCCTTTATTATAAATTCTCAAAATCATGTTTGCATTTCCATCTCTGGCCACTGGCTTAAATTATTTTCTCTTCTGTCAATCAGGTATCAACATGGTTTTTTACCACCTTTTCTGTCTCAGGACTGAAGGACAAGATCCGCCACGTGGACAGCCTCCGCCAGCTGTTTTCTGCCATCTCACCAGAACAGATTGACTTTCCGCCTTTTGTCCTTGACTATGATGCCAGGGTGAGTACCGGGGGCGCCCCTGCCCTGGTGTAGCATCTTAACTTCCACAGAGAGGTGCTTATAAGTGCAGCACCCTTTCGTTGTAAGGTGACGTTACTGCAAGCAGCGTGTTTCAGTAAACTTGAGCATATCACTTAACATCCTCTTTCTACAATAACTTTAGGAAAACACTTTATCCTAAAAGAGGGCTTTTCCCCCAGTAAACTTTTAAATCACAGATTTTTCTGCTGTAGTTTTGAAGCCAGTCCTTGGTTGTATCGTGAATTTTCTACCACTTTTCAGATCTACCTCTGCCTACTTAAGATTGAGTGGCTTTTCACCTTCATAAATAGAACTGGAAGAATCTGTTGGTGCCCATTTTAGTGTTAATTGTAAACCAAGTGGCTATCTTAGTAGCCTTTACTAAAAGTTTCATTTTGCTGAAAGTTTGTGTGATGCTTTTAAGAGTATCAGCCAATAATGTATTAGTATTATTACTTGTAGGTGCATTTATGAATCTGTTACTTAAACACCAATGAAGGGCTACTCTTGAATTTCCTCATAGCTCTCTTCCATTGTGTTTAGTCACACTTTCACTACAGTAGTTAGAACAAAACAAAGTAAGCGTCATGCTTGACCCAAAAACCATCATTGTTGCTGATTACATGTCTTTATGCATGAACCAGGGATTATACTTGAAGGTTATATTAAGTTTGAAGTGAATTCGTGTTCCTTAAGTGTATACAGTGTGTATACAGTAAAATAAATATCCTATAACAAATATCTTTAAAATAAATATCTCTAACTTCTTTCACTTCAGCTATGATTTCTGTTCTTTTTCATGTGAAGAGCAAAGGATTTCATGTGCTCTGATGGCTAATACAGCCTCATGTTTGGCTTTTGCACAGAGAAGACTTCTAACTGGAGCATCTGGATCATAGATTCAAAGACTGTTGAGTCTATGAGAGGGAAAATATCATCAGTTTGTATTTATTGCAGATTGCTGGAGCAGAAAAGAGTCTTATTGTTATTCTTTTGAACTACATATGTCACTTTTTTTAATAATTCAAGAAATGGATGACAGAAAATGTGAAAAACAGTGAAAGGCATTTTGATGCCAAAAGTTTGGCATGACAGTTCAAAGCTAATATCTGGATTTATCATTTATTTTCTGGGGTAGAAATGTACAAGTTGGATTGTATTAGTTAGAAAACCCAAAGGACTGTTTTTTAAGCCAACACATTTTATATATACTTGGGAGCCTAGAAAGCAGGATTTCATTAAATATTAGCACCACATTCAAGCTTGGTTTTGTTTTGTTTGTGTGTTTTTTTTAGGTTTTTGTTATATTTTGTATCAAATGCAGGCCTAATTAACATGGTTAATCAAAATTAAATAAAATAACCTGTAATCTAACACTTGGGCCATGGGATCCTCTCTTCGTCCCTGTACTAGAGCTTTCTAGAATTGAGATATTAGACCATCTGTGTATAAAGGCCAAAGAGAGGGAAGGCGGAGGCATTAGGAGGTGGTGTGGAAAGGGCAGGCAGAGGGCATCACGAGATGCCGGGGTTTCACATGTCATGCCGCAGACCGATGACCCCTGACCAATGTGGAGGTTAGGGCGCCCATGCCCCACACCGCTGAAGTTACATATACATGTGACTCCCCAAAAACTTAACTAGTAAGAGCGTACTGTTTACTGATAGCCTTACTGATCACATAGTCAATAGACAAACATATTTTGTATGTTATATGTATTATGTACTGTATTCTTATAATAAAGTAAGCTAAAGAAAAGAAAATGTTATCAAGAAAATCATAAGAGAAAATGTATTTGTAGTACAGCACAATCCCATAATTCACAGCGTCTGTTTACATGGTAGGTCATCTGTTGGTACCTACATCAATATTGTCTTAAAGGATCCAAAACACTGTAGATGTTACGTGTATTACTAACACTGGACACAAAAATGAAAAGATAATGTGGAAAAGAAGCACCTTTACGTACAGGTGTAACGATTCATGCTTTGATAACAAAGCAGCAGAGCTGGTTTTATCCTGCCTTTCGCTCTCCGTTTGCGACTACTGTCTTACCTTAATGCTGCACATTTTCTGTTTAAGGTTTACTAAAAAAAGGTTATTTGTCAAAGAAGTGCTTTCCTGAAAAATGTGAAGTGCATCTCAGTCTCATACGTGGTATCTAGGGCCCATCTGCTATAAAGTGAACGGCTTTGATTTTTATTAAGCTGAAGTTAGCCAAAATGAGGTCAAGAAATGTCCTGACACTGATGGGTGCTTTCTGCATTTGACATTAAAGTTCTGGCATTTCCTTCTCCATCTTGATCTTGAACTAAATGCCCCGAGAACTGTCATTGGTACAAACCTGGCCACTCAGGCGTGTTATGGAGAAGACTCATTTCTGCCAAGGCTGTTATAGTTAAGTTCTTCAGCGATCATTCGCTTTGCTTTGTGGCTGTGAATTAAGTAGCACACAGTAAAAAACTCAGTCTAACAACAAAGAACCTGGGCATCACATTCCAATAGCTGTGGATTTAAACTCCGGCTCTTCTGGTTATTAGCTGTGCAACCTGTGTGAGCCTCAGCTTCCTCTTCTGTAAAATGAACGTGTCACCTACTCCATGGTGTCATGTGAGGATATAAAGAGATAAGAAAAGAAAAATGTTGATAAAGTTTCTGGCATATAGAATATTCAGTAAGTGGAAATATTAAAAAATAGTATCGTCCCTGGCTGGTGTGGCTTGGTTAAGCATCGTCCTGGGCACTGAAAGGTTGCTGATTCGATACCAGGTCAGGGCCCATGCTTGGTCAGGGTACGTGCGGGAGGTGACCAATTGATGTTTCTCTCTCTCTCTCCCCTCTCCCTTCTCTCTCTCAAAATCAATAAAAACATATTAAAAATAATAATATCCTGATGACTTCTACCTGACTGATTACCATGGAACTACTCTGATGGCTTGTGTTAGTCATTTTATATTTATTAAGTCTTTGACTATAAATCCCTTTCTTTCATACTCCCAGTTAAATTGACCCTGTGACTTAGTGTTCTTGTCTGTTTTTCCTTCCACAGGAAAATGGGCCTTACTATACATCGTATCCCCCATCACCAGATTTGTGACCTGCCGTCTCTCAGTGCTCCTGGTTTCCATGGATACCACGTTCTCCACGAATCACTACCTGTCGAAATGATACTCATTTTTCTGTACAGATCCAGAGAGCCTTTTGTCCCCACCTCTCTGGTATTTTTTTATTGACTGTATATTTTCTGGTATATAAGCAATCTGAAAATGGTAGGCCATTCTGAATTGCACACTTATTTTAAATTTGTATATTTGTATCAAATGAAAATGTTCATTTTTAGAGGGTTGTTAATAGAAATTGGGGAGCAACTTTTGAGTATGTTCAGTTTCCTGAAAGGACACTGGGTTCTCCATTAGACAAGGCACCAATATCGCTCACGTCATCTCTTTAACCACACCCTTCCTTTGTGTATGTAAGCATATCTCAAAATATATAGAACCAATGGATGCTGACCGGATGCATTATTTACTTCAGATCCTATCATTATGTTTTATACAGATAATGTGATGATAAAAGAGAATTGTCTGGGACCAAGGATGTGGAAATGATCTGATCAAAAACGTTAAAATCGTTGGCAAAATATAAGTCTTAGAATTTTACTGCACCAGTTATGACAAAGATTTAAGAACTAAAGTTCTATGGAGCACATGGTTAAGATTGTTCTGGTATCAACAGTGGGGGAAACAGGAAGAGGGTAGGTATCTTCAGCCTTTTTCCTACAATCATAGGGGATTCGGTCTTATTCAAGAGGACTGTGTGTATTGGTACTCTGCAGTGGAGGGTATCCCCTGACACTCATCTGTGAGCCTTTAGAGGGTGCACTGGCTTCCCAGAGTCATGAACAATCTTGTTTGAGTCTTAGAGCTGCCCCTCTAAGGACACGTCCTCGTTGCTCACGTCAGCATGGAGGGAGTATGTTGCATGGAACAAAATTCTAGACCATTTTTGTCACTCAGGCTCTGTCTGTGCCTTAGCTTGCTCATGAATAAAAATGAGAATTATGCTCCCTACCTCCCAGAGGTACCATGAGGATAGCATGTAGAAAGGGCTTTGGATGGCTTTGGATGAAAACTGCTAGGGGAGTTTGTGTGGTGGGGTGTCTTCTGTTAGCTTTTTCGGTGATAATACATATGCCTGAGGGAGTGCTCCAGGCCACTCCTCTTGTCCTTGGCACCTTCCGAGTGACTTCTCTTTTCTTGGGAGGAGAGCTGTTAGAGTGAAACCCCAACCCAGAGGACTTTGTCCTGCTCTGTCTGGATTTCTCCCGGCTGCCTCCTCCCCCTGTGCTGCACTTTAACAAGAGGCGCCTGTGAGCCATTGTGAGCGTTTCTTCTTGAATTAAGGTTGCACTGTTATCATTTCCATCTGGGGGGCTTCATGTTCCTTTTGGCTCCTATACCTGCCCATCTCCTTCACCCCGGTGTGTCCGTCGGCGTTTTGGAGAAGAAAAGGTAGAAGTCTGTTCTGAAGTGCTCGGGATTGGTGCTTCCAAGGGTCCTGTTCCCTGTGCCCAAGTTAATTCTTCAGTGGAAGTAAAAGACAACTTCCCTGTTTATGACAGAGAAATCCTCCTGGTGTGTTAACTGCGTCCCGTAGTTTCCCATGTAAACCAGAAAGGCTTTACGTTTTGTAGATACGAGCTCTCATCTGCATGTAGTGGACACATTTGCTTTCTGTGGGAAATCAAAACCACTTGTTCCTTTATATGCTTATTTGCTAAGGACTTGTTGATGATTTAGATCATCAGGCCCAATGAGCCAGTCCAATGTCTCGTATTAAGTTTCCTCTCAAATAGCAGTAATCCTTTAGCCCCATGAGCCTTGAACCTTGCAAATCTGAAAAATTAACTTCATCCTCTGGGCAATTGTTAGGTCAGTTTGAGGTATCTTTTCACTGGGAACAGTTACAAAAATATGCCAGCTCTTCTTTGTTAAAGCTGGGCGTGGCTACCTCAAATTGGCACCATTTTCTCTATAGGTAATAGAGGCCGCAAGCTACTTGGCCGTTTGAAAGTTAGCAAGTTTATATGGATACTTTCTTATAGGCAATAATTTTGAAAAGATGTCTCTTTGCTGTGTGTATACCGGTGTATCAATGCTTAGTGATCCAACAGGAGTCTGCATGCACTGAGATTCTAGGTCAGCTGATGTCTAGTTCAGATGGAAAGGTAGTGTAGGACTACATGCATATCCACCTCATTTCATAATTTAATGGAGTCTAGAAATACGGGATGCTCTTCTCATTGAAACTAAATTTGGTGTGGGATCAAGTTCATGTTTTTATAGCTGTCTAAAGTGTTATGTAATGAAATTGTTTCTCAGTGTACTGAAGTCCTAGGAGTGGAACATAGTGGCCTGATACTGAAATGATTAAGTAACGTTCAGTGTATATCTGCCTTTGTTGAACGGCTGGATAGCCTGGGTGACACGTGTCTTGTTCAAGGACATATTTGAAGATGAAAGGGTGACTGGGTGGGGATGACCACTAGCATCTGATGTTAATTGAAAGCACCACCAGGCCCTTAATTCAATTAAACTTCGGTCATGCCAAATGCTAGTTTGAATGGAGGAAGCAACAACTTACAAAATACTAAGTTCATTCATTCATTAATTCATGCAGGGCATAATGTGATTTTTTAAAACAAGTACGTTTCTTGCTTCAGCATATGTTTGGATTCTTCCTAACTGTCTGTATCTAAGTTTCTTTCT